AGATATAGTTATATCTTTAGATTTTGTATTTATTAGAGAGAAGTCACTATTTCGACAGAACACAGCTGCGAAAGAACACGCATTCGACAAATCGCTATTTTGACAGTACACAAAATTGACAAAATATTGTGTTAAATTGGAATTTTCACACTATTTCTATAGCTTTGGTGGCGATAACAATAAATATATACAAATTTAATAAAGTTAAAGAGAGCATGTGCCTTAAGTACGAACCACTAGTTAGCGAGTGCGAAATGTCATTGTCAAATTTTGTATGGAAACTTGAACAGCAGCGCCACAAGGGACGCAACGAAAAGTAAAAATCAGTACAAATTTGACGTATATGTAGATCGAATTCAACTATTCGAATTCGATAATGGTTTGTGCTAAGAGTATTGTACTCCGAACACGAACATCTAGCGAGAAACTATTCGTATCGTCATGTCAAAGTTTCCTTGGAAAAGCTAGTTTGTTTTTACGTCTGGTAGAAGCGTTGCTTAGTTTTCATAGAAACATTGAAGTTGGCGATACGCATACGGAAGCCCAAGCACGAGTTTGTGACAGCTCCGTGAAGTAAGTATCGTAATCGTCAAATTTTGTATGGAAAAAGTTAGTAATCATAATCATTTATTCAGTTACAAGCACTCATGAATGTTTAGAAGCTACGCCATCAGTTCATAAATCTACGGCGTGAGACCTTGTACTGGGAAGAACCGACACGAACCTCAGCAAGGGCTGTTGTTTTCTCCCTGTTTTATTATTTACAGAGTCGTCAAGTTGAAAAATGACTTCAGAGATGATTCATGAAGTCACCTTTCATTACATAATATGAAATTATTTATTAATTGTTCACTTGCATTTTGATTGCTGTGTCATACACTATAAATACAAATAGTGTTATTTAAATTAGGTTTATCTAAACATTTACATCTTAAATATCAAAGTGGTTAGGGCAGACTCATCTCCGCTGGCAGGACCCGTTCACGAGCATGACGCATGAGTTTGTTCTTACGTCCGATAAGTGCACTGCTTAGTTTTCATAGAAACATTGACGATGCGATACGTTACGGAGCAAAAACTCGAGCTTGAGCCTCAGATTCGTTAAAGTTCGTACTTGTACTGATCCGGATTACCGCGGGTCTGATTGATTTATAAATCTAAGGAAAATAATAATCTAAGGCTGCGAAACATCAATAAATAAATAAAATTCGTGTATTAACCCGTTAAAACTAGTTTTATTTAAAACTAAGGAAATTGTTTACTAGAACAATTTCACTTGGCCCATTATCCGGGCGGAAGGCGCAGGTTCGAATCCTGCCTGATACCTGTACTGCGTGGAACGATTATATTTTGGACGTCATGTCATTATATAAGTGGCCTTGGTCGCTACAGCTACAAGCTGTTAAATTATTCTCTTGCGGATGTAAGGGCAATCCGAATAATTGCAGATCCGTATACTATCGATCAAAATAAAATTACTAATCGGAACAAAATCTACTGTTGGTATATTTTTTGTTTGTCATTAAATTTGTTTATTGAGACATATATGTACATTTAAATTACCAATACTTAAAAACTACATGATGACTATATTTTACTTTCCAAATTACCTTAACCTATTTAAATAATATATAATTTACAAAATAAAAAATATTACTGTTTTTTTTATATTTTGGACCTTTAACTAATTTAGAGACAAAGGTTAAAAATTTAAGCAATTCATACGACGAAGTTTGGCCTACTTTAGGGCAATCGGCAAAAACGAAACCCTTATACGATCACTCTGTTGTCTGTCTGTCTTTCTGATATATAACTATATTTTTATGTGTATGTATGTACTAAACATTGCAATCTTATTCCCCTATTTCAATTATTAATAAGCCTGTGCCAAAAGTGATTGTAATATGTTATGTAGAAGAGAAAATTCAAAAATTGATAACGTATTCGGCAATTTCTCTATAAAATCTGCTACCCTACATACTATTATCAGTTACCACAAAGAAATTTAAAATAGGTTTAAAAATATTATTAGTTATATATTTCTGCGAACGGAACTCTTTCCACGCGAGTTGAACACGCACTTGACCGTTTTTTTCGTATATATGTTTTGTAGTAATCTCTTTGATAGTGATACCGGAGTCTTCTCTGTACTGTGCAGTGGTTAAAGAATAAATTAATTATAGAAATTGCTTGCCCTATCAACGCCGCCGCGTCGGAACATGAATTTCAAGCTTCTTTGTTCGTATAAGGGGAATACCCTTTCTCCTCAAGTTACGAGTTCGAGACCTCAACAATATGCGACATGCAATGAGTTAAACATTTGTGTTTTTATATCATTGGGTTCTTCCTATGGGTTTTTTTTATCGCGTATCGTTGTGAAATCAAATAGTTATATAACTACTCAGTTTTTTTTCATATTATAACATGATTTTAATAATGTTATTAAGGTGTATCCAGGTAACTGGTTTTTGTTTATGATATATTGAATAGATAACACCGTGTTGATTCTCAATTCTCATATCCGTCGTCATCGAATTTTAAATCGAATATAGAAGAACTAGTTGTGCTCCGCGGTGTTACGCGCGGTTTGTTAGGGATATTTTCCCGCGGTCAAACGTAGCCTAAATATCACACTAATATTATAAAGGCGAAAGTTTGTGAGTTAGTGTGTTTGTTACTTCTTCACGTCTAAACGGCTGGAGCGATTTTAATAAAATTTGGTATGGAGTTAGCTGACACCTTGGATTAACACATAGCGTCAGCTCACACCGAAACGCGACGCGACGCTGCACGCTGCACAGAGTGACTCAAAACATAACTTTATTTACTACGCGAAAAGATATACATTTCATTGTTTGAATTTAGAATACATTGCACCACGCGTAATCTGAATTCAAACCATGAAATGTGTATCTTTTCGCGTAGTAAATAAAGTTATGTTTTGAGTGGCTCTGTGCAGCGTGCATCGTCGCGTCCCGTTTCGGTGTGAGCTGACGCTATGTGTTAATCCAGGGTGTCAGCTAACTGCATACCAAATTTTATTAAAATCGCTCCAGCCGTTTAGACGTGAAGAAGTAACAAACACACACACTCACAAACTTTCGCCTTTATTATTAGTGTGATATTTAAGCAATTCAATTTGAAATTATCAATTATAATAACAAAAGGTATTTAAATAAAGTATAATCAAAATGTTTAACAACCTAAAAGCATTGTTTGTATTTTTATTCATAACTTTTTCCTTCTCGGTAACGCGTTGATGTCTTTTTAACGGTGTCTCAAAAGTTCCGTTGATGAACGAACATTTTCCTTATAAGAACAACAAAATATGAATGAATTGCATTGTGTGTAAAGTTTCATAAAATCTGCATGACCGTATTGGCAGATACCGATAGTTATTACGATAATGGACTCACTAGCAATACAAATATTATTATAGCTCTAATTATAGGTTTGTGAAAATGCTATTGAATTCAAATTGTACTCATCAAAATAGGGGTCAAAGTTGGATCAAATTTGCATAACTAACTAACTAACCTCTAAAACATACTCCTTCTGAGGCGTGATGGAGCATATTCGTTCAGCCATCCTATGACCCACCTTTGTGAAAGTAGCTTATCATCCGCGATCGCAGACTGAACGCGCTAAATTACCAAACCATCAGTCACCTTTCTCTTTTGTTGGGTTTTTTGGGAATTCATTACAAATACAAAGTTTGTTAAACTTTTATTTTTTTATTTATTAATGGCTGGCACGGTTCGAAAATAATGAAAAAAAAGGTTGTGAAACGGAATTTGGAAGGATTAGGATCAAGTAGGTAAATTAATTTGAAACGAAAGGAATAGGTCTTTATTATATAAGTATAAAATAGAAGATTATTAACCAAGGGGATAAAGCAGTCTCTTCTGTCGCGGGTGACGATTTAAATCGTGAGCGTAACGAAGGACTCGAGGATTACTCCCGAGCGTAGCGAGGGTGTTAAAAACTTAAATCACGAGCGAAGCGATGGATTTAAGACGAGTCTTGAGTGTAGCGAGGAATTTAAGCTCACCCAAGACTAAGACAGCTTTATCACTGAGGAAAATACTCTACTTTTCGTATCATTTGCGAAAAAAATAACACAATAATAATATGAGATATGCGTATTCCTTTCTCAAAAAGATGTATAATGCTTCATATACAAACTCAATGGTGTAAACACAGATGTAGTTCAGTATAAATTTTGGTAAGTATTCCAAATTTAAATCACATTCTCCCCCTAGAGGATGAATGAAATTCAGTACAATTTTCTTTCCCTGTTTTTAACAGATTAAAAATGACTATTGTTATGTTCGCTTTTTGTGGCATAGAATGTCACTTTTTTGAGCAAGTGGTATACATTATGTTTTTTGTTATAAATTACTTATAATTTTATATTATGTTTAGTTAGGAATTCAGATAGCTTGTTATATATATTATAATCTTTATAATACAATAAGGAAGGAATGGAAGTAGGAAGAGGTTCATTATGGGATATTAATGAATCCATAAAAGAGGAGGAATCATTGAGGGGACACTCGAAGAAGATGTGATTTAAGTTTTGTTAAACTTTTGAATTTAGAACACTGGTTTTTTCCTATAATTTGGCAATGTTGGAGCCATAGACCAGGTAAGCCGCAAGCCAGCGAAATTCTTGGTCCATGGTTGGAGTCTTTAGTCATTGCATAGCAGTAGCGGACGGCATCGCTTTCCAGAATGATTTACTAGGTATTCTACTATTCCTAATTCCAACTAATATTATAAATGTAAAACTTTGTATGTTTGTTACTCTGCAAAAACGACTGAACGGATGTAGGTGAAATTTGGCACACATATACTTTATTACCTGGATTGTGACATAAGATACTTTTTATCCCGAAAAAAATTTATGCTGAGGGATTAACAATAAACTTAGATAAAGCGGTCAATCGTAATTTTTTTAATCCTATTGAATTAAGAACACTTTTTCTTATTATTTGCAGAGTTACGTAGGACAACTGGAGCCTTTGGACCCGCAGCGGGGTCTGCAGCGGTACAACCAGGGCGCTCCCCTTTTATACCGGGTGCATTTTCCTGTGACGTCACCACTGCCGCGACTTTACTCGCTCGTGGCCAATGGCCAGACGCTCTGCTATGGCCCAATGGGTTAGTATTATTTATTTATCTTTTTTAGTAAAATCTTGTTTATAAAAAAATCCTAGGGAATAGAAATGCGGTAGAAACATGTGCCGCTTAAGTCACACTTACATTGTAGGGTACGTTGAGCTGTTGCTCCCGGATGCATCTGCAGTCGTTAGCACCCACCAATTCGCACTGGGTAGGTCAAGGCACAATCTCCCTATTCAAATATTGAATAAAATTGCTATCAAATCACCCAGAATAAAATTGCTATCAAATCACAAATTTATCGCGGCTCAGAATATCAATAGAAGTGTAAAATAATCTTTATTTTATTGTAATTTTAAGTATCTATTTTCGTCAAGCGATTATTTAGCAACTGGTCGCAAATTAGATGCAAGTTAAACAAAGGGCACGCGATTCGTTAGTTTATTTTAGATTTTCTTTTATTATTATGATGACCACCGAGGCCGGGTGGTATAAACGCCGGATTCAAGGTGTCGCCACTCAGTGGTACCGGGTTCGAATCCTGGTGAGGGCAAATATTAATATGATGAATATACGCATTTGTAATTGAGTCATGGATGTTTGTCTATATTTCTAGATAAAATATACTTATCAGTATAGGTACGCATTCTATCCGTTACCCTTGCATCCCAAAACACAAGCCTTACAGGGTTTACTTTGGGAGCCAGGCTAATTAAGGTTTAAGTGTGGGAAATATTAATTATTATTATTATAATTTCAGATGTTCCTGGCCCGAATCAGTACGTGAGTACTATTAGCCTTCAGCACGCGCTGTTCCTCATGGGAGGGCTAAATAGCGTGTACACCGTTGACCGGCCGGTCAACTTTAATAAACCCACCAACGACTTCCATAACTCGGGAGACACGCAGTATTTCACCTTTTCCGACGACGGAACAGGTAATCATCGGTTTTTTTTGCAAATTAACCCACCCCACCAGATGTTAAGTGTGGGTAGAGTTCAGTCGCGAAGATAGATGATGCAGCAGATAGTGAGCTGCTCCAGCGATTCTCATCTTGCCGGCCTGAACCCAACCCTACATTGCGGAGCCTTGAACCACAATACATACAACAGCAGTAGCGTAACTCAGCCATTTTCTTGAAATAGATACCTACGACTGAGCGGAGCGCTAGGGTTGGTACGTACTAAATGTAAAATAGATTAGTGTCGATTTTTATTGTATGTGTAAAGTTACTATTGCCACGTTACGGAATCGAAACGGAGGCAGACGGCGCGGGCGGCGCGGACGGCGTAGCTAAACTACCTCAGCCATAGACCAGAACGGCGGCGCGCGACATGGCACTGCGTAGATTTGTCTTGCCAAGATTGGTTAGCAGCCGTGTAAATGACGTTTGTCTGTGTTCGTGCGGCGATTCGGGCGCTAGTATGAAGTCAAAGTACTGCTCTTATATGTATTGTGCCTGAACCCTACTCACCGGCAGAATCACAACACCACCAAAAGGTAGTTTTATTTTATTGTGGTCTTCAGTATGGTGAAGTTCGAGTCCCCATACTGGTGCTCCTATTCGAGCGGAAATTCCGCTGTGCCGTACCTCTCTTAATCTAGTTTATATTTACGTAATTTAAGACAGCGACATTTTGTTACATTGTATTGATGCTACACCACATCTTAACTGGACTTTACTTAAACTTAATATCAGGTGGTGTGGGGGAATTTGGTGTACCTCGTTAAAGATAAATTCGAATGATGTTAGTGCAAATGCAGTTAATATGCATAAAGTACCCCTTCGGCACATTGGCATATTTTCTTATTATTCAAAGTAAAAATTTTAATCTATAATAATTTCACAATCAATGTCATAGAAAAACAATCGTATTTAAAATAAAACAAAATGTAAAAAAAAGTATATAAAAAGTATAATCAGGTTTAAATAAGAAGCGTCGGCAATATGGCGGACCCCATGCAATGCACTACCTAGTTAAGGTGTCGACGAGTCCACCAGAACGACTGTCCATAAAGGGCGTCGTAAAGTTCCGGCTGCTGTAGTCACGTCGATTACTCGAACAATCCCATCTTTACCCGGGTACAATTTCGATACACGACCTCGAGGCCATGAACCACGCGGCAAATTGCCGTCAGCCACAAAAACCATATCTCCAACCTTCAGCCTTGTCGTAGGCCTGACATGAACGCGAGGGGTCAAAATCGGGAGATATTCCTTAACCCACCTCGCTTCATATTTAAACCTTTTTATTTTTTACATTTTGTTTACTTTTAAATACGATTGTTTTTTTATGACATTGATTGTGAAATTATCATAGAGTAAATCACTGAACCCGTGGTTTATTTTCTATCCGTTCGGTACATTTATGGTATCAGAAGTGGGATAGAAAATAAACCGTATTTAAAAGTAAAACACAATGTAAAAAAGAGTACATAAAAAGTATAAAAAGGTTTAAATAAGAAGCGACGGCAACATGCCTAATACAACTTTTTAACAGTCCACATTTTTTTAACAGTTCAAACTTGTTTTAGGCTATCAAACCTTCTTGGTGGACAAGCACAGTGGTGATTCTGCGTACCAAAACCAACCAAACTTCAACGTGCACTATACGGAGAAGACAACGCAACGACCGGTGTACAACCCGTTCACAACGCAACGAAAACCACCTCCAGATTACAACATCTATACGACGGAACGGTATCCACAGCAAGATTACAACCCATATACAACGCAACGACAACCTCCACCGGATTACAACCCGTATACGACGCAACGTCAACCTCAACCGGATTACAACCAGTATACAACGCAACTGGCGGAACAACCACCACCAGATTACAACCCGTATACAACTCAACGATTACCACCACAGCGTCCACCACCCTTGTAAGTATTATTTTATTTATTATATTCCGAGTTATTAGTAAATTAACTTGTTATGGTACAAATAACCTGTACCCGTACAATAACCTAACCTTCAATAAAAGGACATTTGAAATTCGATGAACAGAAGAAAAAAAACGGACATGTGCTGTAAAAGTCCTTAATGACTAGGTACGTCTTAAAGACAACACTTGTGTTAAAATTCTCTCTCAATGACAAAATTAAATATTCTATACTTAAATTTTTTCGAAAAATTAATAATAGCTTAATAAAAGAAAAAAACGAGTAAAACAATTAAAATATAACCGAGCTCAGAATCGAACCACCGATCATTTGGTGTTGGCTATCTGTCTTTTGTAGGTTAGGTTTTAGTGATAAAATTAAGGAAACCTATCTTGTGTCAATTACTTCACTTCTGTTTCATCGAATCTCGAGTCACAACGATACTAAAGAAGTTTTCACTTCAAAAACACTTGAGCAAAAAAGTTTGACACTATTTTAAGCCATACGTCATAGTCACGATGAAATAAATTGAATGCCTGACTTTCTGTGGTATGGTTATGCGTGTTGAAATTTATTTTCTATCTTGTACTTATGACTTATGTGGTGACTACGGAAATTTCAGTGTGCGTGTTCCTTCGAAATAATTAATATGAAAAATACTAGAATTTTGACGTACATATATTCTTTCTCTTCATCTTACTTACGGACCAATAATAAATGTTACTAAGAAAATAGTGCCGTTTGATCATTATCTCAGAAACAGCTTATATTGAGTTGAGTTCCAAAACAGTCACTGTTAAAATTCCTGAATGAAACTATGACAAGTCCGCAAAATTTTGAAGCAATAAATAGCGAATTAAGACAATAAAACGAATTAGTCACGTTCTTCACACATAACCAACAGTTCAACGTAAAATGTAACGACACTACATATTATGGGTATTTCCAATGAATGACTGTGCGGTTGTTATGAGAGAAATACATCATAAGTTATTTCTCTTATGATATTATTCGTTTCTATTAAGTCATTTAGCATTTAGGTCAAATTTCAATCTTTTTTGAAAAAAAATGTTTATTTTTTATAGCAATGTGGTTGATTTCTTTCGACCGGTAATCGTTTGCACTTGTTGATCTAGATAAGGATTTAGGTGCAGTTCCTTTCATTATCAGAATCGAATTGAGTTACATTCTAATTTTTAGGTACTTAAAATTGGGGATTATTGATATGCTATTTGAATTTATCTTCAGGCAATTAAAAGCTAATATATGTATATCTATCGGAAGCATCTAACCTAAATATATTTTAACATTAAACAAGTGACTAACTCTTAACAATGGCGTCGATTCTGGCGTGATTCTCTAAAATTAAAACTAAATTTAACATTAGTCTCTCTTTTTCATTCTGTATAGAAAATGACAAGGATATACTGCTCTCAAATTTAAGTTTAGGTTTAGAAAATCATGCTAGAATCGATACCATTGTGTAATTTTTATAGTTCAGTCAAAATATACTGAGTTCCAAATATAATAATTAATAATAAATATTTCCAACACTCACACCAATTAGCCTAGCCCCAAAGTAAGCACTATAAGGCTTGTTTTATGGGATACTAGGGTAACGGATAGAATACATATACTTTACATATATAAGTAAGTATATTTATATAGAAATATATATTAAACATCCATGACTGGAGTACAAATGCTCGTGTTTATCACACAAACATCTGCCCCCACTGGGATTCGAACCCGGGACCTCTCGAGTCGGCGAGGCCATGAAACCCGGTGTACAAACCACTCGGCCACGGAGGTCGTAAATATGTACATACATATCTCATCTTGTTTGTGTCGTCGAATTACTTGAGATATTAAATGCTATTCCAAAAATACCTATAAACGAAAACAGAAAATATTTATACAATGCTATTCATAAAATACCTATACCTTTAACCTAATTGACATAGTCCGAAAGGACTCCTTTCATTTATCTTTAGCTTTGAAGGGAATCACGCAATCAGCTACGGCTTAGAACGATGCATGTGATGAGAGGAAATGGCTACTAACAAAACGTTACACGCGGGACACACAGAAAAGACCTAAGATGCAGAAGGGGCGCGGACATAATATGTCTCTTCCGCGGCCTTTTCATTCTAAACGCATAGAAGCGTCGTGTCGCAAAACATATAGGAAAGAAAAAGCGCGGACACGACGCTTCTTTTGTTTTTAAAATTTTGTATGAAACTGACAATATCCGCGCCCCGTCTGCATCTTACGTCTTTTTTGTGTGTCCCGTGCTTTAGAAGCACGCCACGAAGCGAAGTCCACAGTGACAGGGCCAGCATAAAGCCGATGATAAGCTTCCAGATCCATATATCTTAAAGGACTGCCAATCTTTTCTTTTGAATAGACTAGTATCCCATGTCAAAGCCCACCAACCACCTATGGCCTAACAAACCTTTTCGGTTAAATGCAATCCAAAGCAGTAGGAGATACACGTGGAGTAGCCCCCACAGCATGTGTTTCCTTGACTCTCTACAAACTGTCATAATCTATTCCCTTTGTCTTTTGGTCGTTGTCGCCTTCTTGAGGCGAACGAACATGAAACTCCTTCGCTCCTTCCAGTCATCCCGTGCCCGTTCTGCAGTACCACTGCCTGGTTCAATTTCGCAGGGTAGCGTTTTGGGGTGTAATTTTTTTCTTGCCTATATTAATAATCTACCCAATGTACTGGAGGAGATGTGTGTGCTGTTTGCTGATGATATATCTATCTCAATATCTTGCTCAAGTGCTTCAGAATTACAATCTAAACTAGACTCTACCCTTAATAAAATTACGAATTGGCTAGAATCACACAATTTGCAACTCAATCTTAGCAAAACTAAGCTCATTCAATTCGGACCCTACCAAAAAGTGCCACTAGACATATCGTACAGTTATAGAGACACAAAGATTGATGTTGTCAATACTGCTACTTTGCTGGGTATAGAGTTGGATGCACACTTAAACTGGAAATGCCACATACAAAGGCTGTTAATAAAGATGTCATCTTTTGTTTATGCACTTCAACATTTAAAACGTGTGACTGATTTTAGATCCGCTCTTACTGCTTACTATGCATATGCTCATTCAATACTATCATATGGTATAATTTTGTGGGGAAGCTCATCTGACGTAGACAAATTATTTATAATGCAAAAGAAATGCATACGAATTTTGACAAACATCGATCAGATGGAATCATGTAGACCTTATTTTATTAAACATAGAATTTTGACCCTTGCATCCATACTCATCCTTGAATCATGTAAATTTGTAAGAAAACACCCAGAATTTTATTCACCAATAGTAAGTGTTAAAAGAAATAATAGGTATTTAAATAAATTAGAAGTGCCATACAGCAAATTAAGATTGGTTTCGGATAGTCCTCATGCTATGACAATAAAAATCTATAATAATGTACCTAATACACACATCAAAAGTGTCTAGGGATCAACATATATTTTTGCAATAACTTTTCTCCTGATTAATATTAATTAAAATTTTCTTTAAGGATTCATCAAATAAAGTGTTTTCGTTTGTCACAGTAACGATAAACCAAGTCACCTTTGCATTAATAAAGAAATTTGCCATTTTCCTAATAAAGGGATTTTTGACATTTGAACCACTAACACAAAAGTTCGAAAAAAAGACTGAAATAACAGTTTTCTCTAAAATTTTATTGGGTAACTTAAACAATTAATAATCCGTATTTCTACCGCGAACACTAACAACACAAGAACATCGGTTTGGCATACTCAAAATGAGTTCATCCAAATCACGCTGTGGAATGGCCGCCCATGTTCGTTGCAACAACAAAAAAAGGTCTTCTTGCGACTGGATACCCTCCATATTCGGCAGAGCTCTTCTCTGTAGCATATCCCATGCATGCTCAATCGGGTTCAAGTCTGGCGACTGAGCAGGCCAGGGCAGGACATTGATGTTAGCTGCGGCGAGAGTCTGTCTTACAACTCTTGCGGTGTGCGGTCGTGCATTATCATGCATTAACTGAAATAAGGGACCGATTTGCACTTGTAGAGGAACGATGACGTCTGATACAATCGTCTCAGCATAAATTTGAGCGTTGAGGTTGCCTCTGATCCAAATCAACTCAGTTCTTCCGCCGATCCAAATACCCGCCCATACCATGATGGTTCCCCCACTATAAGGATGGACTTCTTGGCAGGATTTTAATCGCTGTTGGCGTCCAGGGGTTCTCCAGTGTCGTATACGTCTTGTATCCGGTCTCATACCAAAACGAGACTCATCAGAAAAGCACACGAAACGCCATTGTTCTTCTGCCCAATTTCTGTGTTCAAGAGCCCATTGATATCGAATCCTACGATTGTGCATTGCTATAGGTGGTACCCGTAGCGGTCTTCGGGAATGAAGGTTCACTTCATGCAAGCGGTTTCTGACTGTTTGGTCGCTAATTAAGTTCCCTGAAGAGTGATGAAGCCTCACGGCTAACATCATGGCGGTTATTGTTGGAGCTCTTCGAGTTAAGATTTGAATGTATCGGTCTTGTCTCCGTGTGGTGCAGCGATACCGTCCTCCATGGCGCTCAGCCACGGTACCAGTGCTTCGGTATCGTGTCCAAAGTCGACTGATAACACTTTGACTTGTATTCAGAGCTAAAGCCACAGTACGTTGCCGGGAACCAGCTTCTATCATTCCCACGGCTCTGAGCATTTCTTCCCTGCTTAAATGACGTCGCCGCTCCATAATAACGTTGGTTTTAATCAGTAGTAGGGAAACAGTAGCACTAATAATGTCTTCAATGCGTTGTATGTTTTTATAGGGAAAATATTGACAGCTGATTTTCATCTTTTACTCGAATTTGATTCACAGTTCCTGATTCAAATTATGAAATGCACCAAAAAGGATCCATATAAATTTATAAAATCATAAATTTATTACAAAGCCACATCTCAATCTCAAGAAATCCGCATAAAAATGCTTGATCCCTAGACACTTTTGATGTGTGTAATATAAAGAACGTAGAAATATCAGCCAAATTCAACAATCAATTAAAATCATATTTAATCCAAAAATGTTTTTATAATTTAAAAGAATTTTTTGACGACAAATGTAATTGATTTTTAAAGTTGACATTTTCATTATTATTATTATTGCTTATTGACATTGTTAAATCTAGTTTATAAAATTGAATTGTTTGTTGTGTAAAAATTAAATTATTATTATTGTTGTTTATTGAAATTGTTAAATCTATTTTATTAAATATATTTGTTGTGTAAAAATGAAATGTGAACTAAGTATTATAATATAATTATTTAACAAGCCCTCTGGCTTGATATTTGCTATGCCCTTGCAGGGCGTCACATATTTACTTTACATAAATTAACGTACCACCATGAATGTTATGTGACATGCAATAAATGAATAAATAAATAAATAAATGCCTTCTAAACACAGTTTCCTCTCTTCGCCGACCCGCTTCACTTCTCTCAAGCCTATTTGTCAGTCCCTTTATCCTGTGTCAGTTCAATGTTATTTCCAAATTTGACATCTTACCAGAAAGCAAGCCTGATTAATGTTCAAATGCCCATAAAATATTAGTCTTTATTCACGCTTCTCATCTCTTCTACTGATCTATCTTATTATCATCTTAGCATTCTCTTCTCCTTAATCGTGCTTTCTCTCAATCCTTTTCTTTTAACCTAACATTCCCCTTTCTTCCTCTTTTTCCTTTCTCATCCCTGGCCCTAGCAGCTTCGGGCTGAAAGTGATGTTTTATCTCACTTACTCTCGCTACTATGACTCATGAAATGAAACTTTCGAAATACATAATGCAAAACAGAATAAAAAAAACCATGTTCAACTCTGAATCATCTTCCAGGCCCGCCATCCCACCTCGCCTACCGAGCGGGCCAGAGTTCTCCAGCGTACAGTGCGGTGTAGTGGCCGGCGGTAACGAAAGGCAGCCCCTCATTCACAACGGGCAAAACTACGAGAGAGGAGCTCTGCCGTGGCTCGTCGCTATCTATAAGAGGAAAGACGGCAGTCTCACTTTCAATTGTGCCGGCACTCTGATCTCAGATAGGCATATCGTTACGGGTAAGTTAACAAGCAATATGAAGACAAAGTTTTTGATTTAGCTATTCATCATTTATGCAAGGCAACCTATTGGGAAAAAATATGAAAGAAAAAACTGTTATGCCCGAGGATGGCTCGTTGGGAACATAGGCATATTCGGTTGTTTGTAAAATAGTACAGGAACAACAATATCTATTATAAAAATATTGATATTTAAAAAAATCCCACCCACCACTGCTTCGTGTGGATGAATTTAACTAATCAAGGTTGTTTTTTCCATATAAAATACCATTCAGATTTCCCGATCTTCTCATTTCTCTTTCAGCTGCTCACTGCATGCTGTTGAAGAATTCGGTTACATCTATCAAGGACATCGTAGTGAAGTTAGGCGTATATGACTTGGAAGATTGGGGCGACGACCAAAGCGTAACAAGAAAACTAGAATCTGCGACCATCCACGAGTCATATAACTCCTCTACCCTTGCTAGTAAGTGTGCTGAGTTACTTATGAATATTTAAGTTACTTTTTTTTAAACACGATTGTGTGCCAATTTCATATGTAAGGACCTAAGATTGAATTAAAGTTTTAATATATAATTGGTGTTACTGCATTAGAGGAAAAGCTTTATTTTTGATAAAACCTACAAATTCTAGCATGAGACCTAGGCCCAGATGACGCTTTTCTAGATTTCTTTAGAGATTTATGCGATGAAGTACGCATTGTGTATTTATTTAGCGTTTATATAAACAGCCATACATTTTAAAGGTTTAAAGTTATTTTATGATTTGTCATACTGAATTGTTGACGATGCTTAGCAGGTAGGTTTATATGGTTCAGGCAAAATAATTTTGCGTCATCTACCACAAACTCAGGATTAAGGAAACTTCCGATCTTAGACGTTTACTGTGTGTTTTAGGTGTTATACCGGTTACCGCAGTCTTATTCTGAATCATTGGAACTAAACCGTGTAGGTACCGAGTTAAGCAACTTCATCGTAAGATGATTCAGGCTTTAATGACATCATCCCATCTTGTAGCAATATTAAAAATTTGTTTAACAACTCACCATTTCTTTTTCAATAAGTGGGCTCTTAATTCCTAACTTTCTTATTATTTGGCTTTCAGATGACATAACAGTGTTCACTTTAGAGAAAACTGTGGAATTCAGCACAAACATCAGGCCAGCTTGCCTATGGGACGGGCAGAATGATTTAAATAGGATTATTGGGGCATCAGGCGTAGTAAGTACAATACTTATCGATATATCAATAACAATCTCCTGGCATCGCAAACAGGTAAAACTAGGTTCAGACAGACAAACCACTCGAATAATTTGTAAACAAGAACTTCCACTTATAAATATAAACAGATAGAAAAAAGTAGCCGTTACTGAGTGTCTTGCCGGTTCTTTTCAATTCACTTCTCCAGCCGTAGATTTTCAAACCGATAGCATAGCTTTTTTTAACTTCACCAGAGCTTGCAGCAGCCTAGACTGACAAAATGATTTTTAAATTTAATAATAGTTTTAGGCCAACTTTTGCGATTCTTAAGTTTCTCTAAAGTTTTGACACTCTCTTTGCAAAAGTAAGATAAGACATCACTTCCGCCCCTGTTTTATGGACTTTAGACCTGCATTGACAACAATTATTAGCCATCACGGCCGGCGGCGGCCATACAGCAAGGCGGCCATAGGGTCACTGTGACCGTTTACTATCAGACAGATCGTATATTTGTTTGTCTTGCATATGTTATGAACAAGCTTCGCCTTCTTTCTCGGGACTGAAACAATCTCTATACCAAATTTCATTTAAATCAGTTTGAGGCTAAAGCCGCAAATATAACTTGTCTGTCGTGTTGTGCGCTGACGCGTCAGATATGTATCGGTTTCATACATTTAGTACGTTTAGAGTCAATACTATGTCAAACATCGCGACACACAGCTAAATGTATGAACACGATAACTCTCTGAAGAATCATGACACAACACGACAGAGAAGTATATTGTGGCTTTAAGCATGAAGAAGTAACAGACAAACACACTTCACATTTAAAATATTAGTATGGCTGATATGACAGTGTGAATATGTAAATATCGTGTGTTGTGGTCTTAGGTAGCGGGATGGGGCAGCACGGAACTTGGCCCGGGCGGTCAAGGGCAGCCGCGTATGGTGCGAATCCCCGTGGTCAGCACCGCCACCTGCCGCGCCAGCAACCCCGACTTTCACAAGCTCACCTCCGACACCACGCTGTGTGCAGGTACATATACACACACTCACACACTCAGCACCGCCACCTGCCGCGCCAGCAACCCCGACCAAATAATACCATGACAATTTGTATTTTTGAACGTCATTTCGAGTCATTTAGTATCCTCACCTTTCAGTATCTTAGTATCAGTCATCTGTCTTTACTACAAGCTAAAACAGCTAACGCATTCAAATCTATTCTTCGTTTCCAATCCAGCTTAGGTAAGACAAAGAAAGGTAGGTAGTTGATAAATTGCTTTTTTACATTCAGGTGACCGCAACGGCATCGGTCCTTGCTTGGGTGACTCCGGCGGAGGCCTGTACATCTTGGACAGCGGCCGCTGGCGCCTCCGCGGCGTGGTCTCCGTGTCCCTTAGACCAGACAACGGCGAGAATACCTGCGACCTCAACCAGTACATCGTGTTCACGGACGCGGCCAAATACAACTCGTGGATCAGGAACATCGTCAAAACTAGTCAGATCTGAACGGGGCGAAGCGATATGTTTTTGTTTTGTTTCGTTCACTCGTGCAAGGTTGTTGTTCCACCACCACTAAAGAAGAAATGTGATTATGTTCCCGCTCAAGAGATGGACGGAGAAGAGCGCGTCATGTTACCACAAATATTAAAAATTAATGCAGTTGATTAATAACCGCTATTATTGAAAATCAGTTTGTATAGTTTTAAGAGCTACAATAGACACGTACCATTTTAGCAAAGGAACGCTCTCTTCACTATAATTATTATTATGTTATTAGTTGCAGCAGCGAGAGTTATTAAAAATTGCTCTCCAACTTATTTCAAATTCTGCTTTTCGCTAATCGTCAGTGGTGGAACAATTGCTTCAATTCAAAACAGAATCAGGCAGACGACATTTTTGAATATTGAACTGAGATGAATTTACACTGCATTTTACAAAAGATTTACAAATATTCGATAGAAAGAAAGAAAGTATTAGTTACGTTGCAAATTGTGTCTAGTAATTGATAAATACACTGGGCAGCAAATAAACCGGGTCACTTGCTACCTTGGTACTCTGATTTGATTTTCTCAAAGTATAAAACTTACCACTATCAAAGTTATACCTACAGAAAGTGCGTTTCATGATGATTAAAATAAACAGAAAACTGTAAGAATAGTCGTAAACCCTCCAGTAGCTCCTATTACAAAAGACTGAAGATTTGGACGCGACCAAAAGTCATGGCCGATCGTTTGTTGAAATGTTTTTTGGCTACCCTAGACGTTCGGCCCTACATAGAAGGCTCAGGTATGGTGGGAGTACTTCACAAGGTGCAAGGTTGTCCCCCATAAGTTAATCTGCCTAGTTACAGTAAATTCAAAAATCCCGGCTTGGGCTCCGCTACCATAATGTGTGTGATGTGACTATGTATATACATTAATGACGGAACAAAATTCAATAATTTGACTTGAATACTAATAGCCGAAGCTTCGCTATAGTCTTTGTAAAATCTTTGGATGAAATATAAATGATTTTTTGTAAATTTGGATTTAGGTAATTTCATTAATTAGGTAAAAAAATATATTTATTTTTCATAAATTTTTATTAAGTGGAAGAAATGCTGAATTCCTCGAAAAATTTTGTACAATAATTTTAGTGCCATATGTGTAATAAAAGTGTTATGAAATAATTATTTTATAGGATCTGGGACATAGTCTTAAATTAAAAGCTGTAGTAGCATCATGCATTTCTGTTTTTTAAACCTCAGACAGTTTTCTCATTTACCTATAAGTTTCCACCTACCTCTGAAAGCACCTACATAACATATTTATTAGCGTAAAAGTTTTCTTGATGCTATTAGATAATAAACTAAGAAAAAGTAATAAATGTATTTATTAAGCAATTGCTAATAAAATTTTATACTTTTGTTTTGCATTTTATTGGTTTTGATATGGTTTTCTGTTTACCTAGAAGTCCCGCCTTCACACCTTTAAACTGATGGTGCGAATGTTCAGTGTTAAGGTAGGTCTACCGTGCAATTTTGTGGCGCACGTAAAGAGTGAAATAAATATTTAAATGTTCTGTAGAACTAATGATAGTCTTACTGCCCGAAGCGATTGTAAACCAAACCATGGAAGTTTTGACGTGACAACGTCTTACAAATATATGGAGCCGGCTGCACGCTCGAAAAAACATGACTCATGCGGCGTTACCTCGCTCTGAGGCGTTCGTTCCGTATAAGGATTGAGTATAAAGTATAAGGCGAGAGCGCGCAACAAGCGACAAAGAGGCACAATCGGCCTCCGAGTTCTGCAGCGTTCGACATCTGTCTCTCTCCTACTTGAGTGACCGATGCGTCCGCGTGGACAGCTGCTATACAATAATACATTTATATAAACATAAAAAACAAAATAAAAAATTGATTCCGACGAAGCAGCCTGGGCTGCAAAACGTCAATAAATAAATAAAGTTTCGTGCATTAACCCGTGAAAAACTAGTTTTATATAATGAGTGATGTGCGTGAAAACCTAAGAAACAAATACATTTACATGTTTTCGTCAAGTATGAAGTGCAGTGAAAAGTAATTCATACTTGTAAAAACTATGTACATTGTAAAAAAACGTTGTCACGTTCAACTATCATCAGTAAACCGACTTTACAGACAACCGATTTTTTATTTTACCTTTAATAATGCTTACCTCTTTAATTAAATTCAATAACGATTTCCGTTAATGGCGGATGATAACCTGTTCTGATTTTTTGTTCTCAAAAATAATCGACCCTGACCTATTATTTAAATACAACAACTTTATTACAAATAGCGGTAAAAAGCAAAAAATGATAAACTTAAGACAAGGCTGTATGAACTAAGGTTTCTTGGGCTTCTTAAAGAAATAATTTGACAAAAGTAACTGTCAATTTCATACGGCTATCACTGTCAGCGAGAGTTTTTGGCGGGATTTCATCGAGTGCGGTTGGCGTCTTATTTTAATTATTCTTAAATTTGTTCATAGTGGATATTGTGAAATAAAATTGGTGTAATTTTGTGTGACAACCGTCTGCGCAACTGAAGAATTAGTGGAATCTTTAAAATATACGCTATTCCGGTCAAGTGGACCGTGGACGTGAGAATTTTATTGTAGTATTGACTACATCACAGAAGCTTACCGAAAAAGCCAACTCGATATATTTCGTGCCAAACACTCCAAGAAGTATTAGAATGCGTCACACTCACATTCTAATGAAGATTCACACTCAAATTCAGTAAAAAAAATGAAGATTAATACAAAAATAAGACGATGGCTGCATGGCTATGCCTTTGCCTTTCTCAATAGAGAAGAATAGAATTAAAAAAAAAAATCACTGTCAGCTGTTTTGTTTACGTGTTCCGTGATTTCGCGCGCGTTTAAAAAATATATTAAAATTCATTTAATTTAAAAATTATCAGTAATAAGGAAAATGTCTTGGAATAAAATTCTATGCAATTATAAAGAATTGCAATTGTTTGGAACGCTGAACGGTGGCCAAAGTTTTAGGTGTTTATCGATAGCAAAATATTTGTTATGCTTTGCATTATGTTTATTAGCAGCCTATTATTGTCCCCAATGTTGGAGCACAAGCCTTGTCCAGTGGTTGGAATAGGAGGAACGGCCATGCCACGACTCACCGCGCGGGGTCAATGCAAATTGTTACGTGTTAATAACTGAAAATGTAGCCTGGACCAACGGCTTCACGTGTCTATTTTAAACACGGAGTAACTCAAACTGATAAAGTTTTAGCCACCTAACCTATGACCAGCCATTTCGAAAGTTCGAGTTACCTTCCATGACTACAGATCAAATGCACTAATAGCCAAAAAAGAAGTACTCGCGAAATACTACTAACAAAAGTTATCACTTGAAGTGTCCAACTCCAACATTTACATAATTTTCCTGGTAGGCAGCCAGCCTGCACAAAAACAGGATACAACCATTGTATAGTTAAACACATCCCATGACGTACCTACATTCCTAGGTCAATCAAGTTACCATTTTTCTATCGTAGGTACTAGATTTCTGTGATTTTTTTTTAATATTACTTAGGTGGCAAATAAGTAGGCACTTGCAGAGGTCTATGGATGCTTGCAACACCAGAAATATCACTCGCACATTACCAATTCTGTGAAAACCTTTTTGGATAATCTACTCATACTATGAAAGGATTCCTCTTTGTGGAAGCAAGTGTGTTGAACCCGAGACATTGTCATTGTTTAGGAGCAATGTTTGCATTGTCTCATAATTATTTATTTCCTTATATCTTCACAGATGGAAGCATGACAAGGATAATGATGAATGGCTGGGTGTCTTTTCTAAAACAGTTTGGAGGTTAAAACAAAATGGTGATAGTTTACAGTATCAAGTGATTGGTTCACTGCATAAAAAAACTGACACAAACTGTAGTAATTTAAAAGAGGATTTAATTTATGAAAAACTGCTTAAAGACTATTTTCGTTTGGACTTGAATTTAGGGGAACACTACAAAGAATGGTCTGAAAAAGATAAACTTTTTGAAACAGCTTGCCAACAGTTTTATGGCATACGAATGCTTCATCAAGAGCCTGTAGAAAATTTGTTTTCATTTATATGCAGTCAAAACAATCATATATCAAGGTAATTTTTGTATTTTAACATAACATAATGTATTTTTTAACTAATGTTTCTAGATGCCCAAGCATGAACTTTGTCAGATCTGTCATCATATCTTTTTCGTCAAGTTTTGTACTTAAATAGCCAGTTAGGTCTGGTAAATTAGTTTTCATAGGAACTTTGCCGGTGCGATACATAAACGAAGCTGTCAAAGTTTATGCTTGGGCCTCTGAAATAAGTAAAGTTTAAATTTTTTTTATATTGTAGGATCTCAACCATGGTAGAAAAATTATGTACACATTACGGTGATGAAATATGTACAGTTGATGGTGTAACTTATTATTCATTTCCACAAATTGAGAATTTGGCTGATAATAAGGTAAATAAAAGGCATAATGGCAGAACCCAATTTTGAGACACAATATCCACAACTTCCTACTGGTAAAGAATGCCTACAGCTTTAAGGCCGCCTTTGTATTCTTGTGCATTAAGAATAAAATAAATAAGGAAATGTAGTAGACTAGAAAATATGACTAAAACTTTTATTTTTAACATATACTTACAAGAAGTTGAAGTTACTTGGTGTTTGTAAGTTTAGGTTAAATGCAATACAAATATACATACATTAATTTGAATTTGAATATTCATTAAGTCACATGTTTTCTCATTCTAGTGTTATTGTGAAAAAGGCATACATGCAGCATGAACTTCTGTCGACCTCTGAAGTTAATTGACTTTTTGGAGTGCTCCCATAAGTAAAAAATAACTAAAAAAATAAAAAAAACTACCGGCCAATACCAGTCACCTCAGTTTTATGTAAAGTTTTAGAAAAGGTCCTTAATAACCATCTGACCTGCTACCTAGAGGATCACTCCCTGAGTAATGATCGTCAATATGGTTTTAGACCGAAACGTTCGACGGGTGATCTTCTAGCGTACTTAATTCATATCTGGGGTGGTATTCATATCGACAAGCGTGGCGAGTCGTTGGCTATCAGCCTTGACATTGCCAAGGCGTTCGACAGGGTCTGGCCATAGAGAAAAGTAATACACTGGTCTGGCACAAAAGCCTTTTCTCCAGGCTTCCAGCATACGGTCTGCCAGTCCAGTTCTGTTCTTGGGTAGCTGACTTTCTGCATGAGCGTAGAATTCGTGTCCTTACGGATGGTAGCAGTTCGCGGTTCATGTCAGTGAATGCCAGCGTTCCCCAGGGCTCCGTCCTATCCCCCAGTCTGTTTCTGCTGCATATCAATGACATAATTCCTCAAGAGAATATTCATTGCTATGCAGACGATAGTACAGTACATGCGGGGTATCTCGGACAAGCAGCGACTGGGAGGCGGTAACCTAGGAGAAGCGGGAGAATCTTGTTATTGAACTCATTCAGGCTTTGGACCACATTTCCGAATGGGGTACCAGGAACTTGGTTGAGTTCAATGCCAAGAAAACTCAGACTTGCGCTTTCACGGCAAAAACATCGCCATTCCTTCCCCTTCCCTCTCTTCAGGGCACAACACTGGCGCTACAGAGCAACATTACTATGCTCGGTATGGAAGTTCGCTCAGACCTGAATCCAAATGACTACATCGAAACCGTGATCAAAACAGCTTCACGCAAACTCGGAGTCCTGAACAAGGTGCGGCGTTTTTTCACGCCCGATCAACTGTGCTTGTTGTACAAAACGCAAGTGCGGTCCTGCGCGGAATATTGCTCGCACCTCTGGGATGGCTCCGCCAAGTACTTGCTCGATGCTTTGGATAGGTTACAGCGGCGCGCGATCCGCATCATAGGCGATGAGGAGATGACTAAACACCTTGAGCCTCTTCAATTATGCCGTGACGCGGCGTCACTAAGCGCGTTCTTTCCTCTGTACCACGTCGAATGTTCTGAGGAGTTAAATGGAATGCTCTTCCCGCTCACGTGTTCTCTCTCTTACAACCTGGGATCCTTTAAAAGACGCGTGAAGAAGCAACATGCAGGCCAGCAGGGTGAGGATGGCTGGTGTGGCAGGTAGAATTGCTGTATCAGCTATCTTCGCGTCTGGACTTCACCTTCACTTAACATCAGGTGGGGTGGAGTCATTTGTCGGACCTATCTATAAAAAAAAGTATTAATTTAAATAACTCCTTCCTTCTAGGTGGAGTCGAAATTGAGAGAGCTAGGATTTGGTTACAGAGCTAAGTTTATACAAAAGTCGGCAGCCCAAATTGTGGATTGGGGAGGAGATAAGTGGTTCAAGAGTTTGCAGGACATGAAATACAAAGATGCAAAGCAAGAGCTGATGAAGTTACATGGCATTGGGCCCAAGGTAAAAAATAACTTAGCCGAGAGATCTTACAATAAAATATTAATTAGCAATTCGGTAAAAAATTAAAAAAAAAACTGTTGGCTTGCATCTATTGTCAGTTTTGAAATAACTTTCTGGAGTTCTAAAATATGCCTTTTCTGTACTTACACAAAGTTTTAGGTATACAACCGCAAAGAGAATAATATTATGTATTGTAATTTTCTTCAGGTGGCAGACTGCATTTGTCTCATGTCGTTAAACCACCTACAAGCACTCCCTGTAGACACGCATGTATATCAGATTGCTGCTCAAAACTACCTGCCTCATTTGAGGGGGAAGAAGAATGTCACCGACAAAATGTACACAGAAATTGGAGATCACTTCAGAAAACTTTATGGAGAGATGGCTGGCTGGGCACACACTGTAAGTTACTGAAAATTAGCCGGGGTTACCAAACCGTAAGGTCGAAAATCTAATGTATTTTAATGCAAATTGGTTAATCACATTTTAACCTTAAAGAAGGTAATAAAATTAAAATTGATTAATGATAAACCTCAATTCTTTGGAGTATTATTTAAATATTTAAGTATGTTTAAACTACATTTTGCTTATCTTATTCTAACTGACTTATGAGTGCATATATCCGTAAATTAGACAACGGTTCTAAAACTATTATAGAGATGACAATATACTGGATATGCCACTAGAATTACTATCGCTAAAATGATTTATTTTAAGTACTTAACAAATACAAAGGTTGATTGATTAGTAAGTAAACTTGTGTAAATTTTCGTCTAATGAAAAAGTTTTGTTTTAGGTATTGTTTTGTGCAGATTTAAAGAAATTGAAAAACAAAGATGATAATTTACTAACAGAAGGTGAATCTCAAAAGAAGAAAAGGAGAAAATAAAAACTGTGATAACTGTTACCTACCATCTAAAGGTTTTCAAAACCATGTGATGCTTTTAAGGTCAAATAATTTTATGCTTTATTTCAATATGCTTTACAATAATATTTTATATTTCTTGATTTTTAAGCATTTAACTGCTTCATGTTAAAATCTAAACAAAATTTTACTTAAAAAAAATGCATTCGACCGGATAGAGAAGGGTGTGGATTTGAGTCTTAGTAAATTTTTCTTTAAATTTAAATAATATTTTTACTTGTAAAATGAAGGGGCTTCATTTTGTACCTCAATATCTGAACTTAAAACGATGCCAGAATAAGTATATTAACTTTGAACAGTGGCAGTATTGAAATAAAGGTTAAAATTGTTTGAGACAATTTGTGTTGTGACAATTAATGTAAGATATTTTTTATGAAATAAAATGAGCATTTTATAAATATTCAGATCTTTATTTTTGGCTATAATTATTTTATTGAATAAAAGTTTAAAATATATGTGATATTACATGATTGTTCTTAGTGGATAATTAAAATAAGGGTTTTTAAGCTATACCATTTATAAAAATAAAAAACTAACAACTATGAATTAAAGGAGATTATTTTTATTATTAAAACGTAAATCAGTCGATTATTTTCGTTTTGTTATAGGTCTCATTCATATAAACCACAAAACTAGGAACAGTGAGCCCAAACAAATGTTTTTCCAACCATAAGAGAATGCAATTACCTACAAAATAAAAGAAATGCCAGAATAAATTCAACAGTTAACATATTAAAACCTAACACATTGTTAAGTTCTATAGGTAGGTAGGTATAATGCGATTCAACTAAGAATAGGATCGACTGGGCGCCATTTTGTGATGTCAAGGCCGTCAATTGAAACAAAATAGGTAGAGTGAGCAATAAAAGTTTTTCTTCGATAAAACTTATTTACTAAGATTAAGTGAGAAAAAACATCAGATTTTATTAATAAAATTTATTTACTAAGATTGAGAAAAAAAACACCGATTTTTAATAACATTTATGACTGTGTGAGTAAAAATATTAATCGGAATCTAACTCTTCAATTCCGCTCAGCTCTGCATAACGTCATGTTTGTTTACAAATGTTTGTTTTTTTTATTCTAGAATTAGCTGAGTGCTAAAATAGAGTTCCAAGATTTTTTGCAAACCGTACTTTTCAAGCGTCATTTGACAGATAGAGGTCATTGGCTTTCCTATTCTTATTTGAATCGCATTATAATGCCAGCACTTCACTTTGATAACCAAGCAAGCTTACAACTAAACTAAACTGGACATCAGTCTGTCCTTTTCCTTCCTTGATAAGGACAACTGTCTAACTGTTGTCAAGTTTAGAAATAGCAAATACGAATAGCCAAGTTAATTGCCGGCATAACGTGTATTAATATTTTTTTTTCTTATTTACGACTATTTAAAACCTGATACTGCGTGTGTTATTGGGGGTGAACCTATGTTATTTACGAGATTGTTACCATGTACCATGTTTTTAGCGAGTTTCCGATATTTCGGCACTGTTGCAAGCGCCATGATCACGGAGTAACTGCGTGTCTGCGGGAGTCAGTTACTCCGTGATCATGGCGCACTATAATACTTATAACCTATTAGTAATGTGTATGTATCTTAAACAATGTATCAGATACGTAATACTTTTTTTTTAGATTTTTTTAAATTACACATTTTTACATTAGACGATATAACGAAAAGAAGATATAACACAATCTGGAATGATATATAGGCATATCTTTTTAAAAGACCAATTTTCTCATTATCACAATTTTTTTATCATAAAATAATACAATATGACTACACAAAATAATTTTAATATTGCACAAATACTATGCTTAATATTAAGTTTATGAGAACTTTAAGAAGCTATGTCTAGATAAATGAATACTATCATAAGTGAATATAATATAATCCTTTCTACAAGACTAATAAAACGTAATATAACTTATATTTATTAATAAAATACTAGGAACATGGAGGTTCAAGCTACAATAATCTAAAATTTTGTATGATTTTTTTTTATTATTGAAAATAGTGATCTTCAACCATAGACAAACAATTTAAGTACTTAAGTAGCTTGCAACCTTCTTTGTTCAACATTAATCAGCCTTCGTAAAATATTTTTCAACACATTTGCTCAAAAAATACATTTACGGAGGTTGTATAGAACGTGCGGTAAAAAAAACACCTTTGTGCCTTTCGGCTTTTCTTTTAATTTCGGTCGAAACCTCATTTTAAGTTCTTTAAATCTTAGATAACAAAGGTATACTTTGTCTCACTTTAATACTAAACAGAAAAAGAGACGTAAAACGCAATATATATATAGGTATTGTTTTCTCGCAAATCTGTTGAAAAACGTTGTATGACATTCGTGAGGAATTGATATTTACAAATTCGTGACTCTACTTGTTTGTAATAATAACCAACTTAACGCACTAATGTCATTATTGTAAATTTAATAGAGAAATTACAAGGTAGCAGTTTTATTTTTTCAACTTCTGCGTAAAACAATATTACCGTGGTAAAACTGATCTTGTGTTAGTCTACCTGTCCACTAGGACCGGGCGAGATTGCGGAGCGGAGAAACGGGAGAAATATTAACCAATAGGATTTCACAAAATCTCCGCTCCTTTTCAGTCGACAGATTTTGTGCAATCCTATTGGTTAATATTTCCCCGCTTCTCAGCTCCAGTCGTCAGGCATCCTTAAACGGACAAAATAAAGAGTCGAGTTCATCTGAAATTTAAGTCAGTGACCTACAGGTAGGACTTTTGCATTTTCGTTAAAATAAAGCTGTATAAATCCATTGAGGAGCTCAATGGTGCACTGGTTAGCTCAATTGGTCTGCGATTGTTGTACTAAAAATACTAATTTAAATTGAGTTATAATTGCATTCCAATAATTTTCTAAGCAAGTGCAACTTTGTCTTTACATGAGTGGATCGAAGTAACCAGAGCGCCTTCTGTGGTTAGAAGGCCTATTACAAAAATAAAAACGATCAAGGAACGCAGGTTGTCATTCATTTGTTTGTATATTTTAGGTTTTAACGCGGTAGCATAATTGGTCAGTGCATTCGCCCGGATTGCGAAGGGTGCGGGTTCGAGTCCCGTCTGCTGCCTGATCCGCGTGGATTTTTTTCTATTAAAACTTTTCTTTAGAAATAATTAACATGTTTATAAAAACACCGCAGTTAAGCATTATTTAACCTTCCACGATAAATAGGCTATCTATCAGCAATATTTGTTATCAATTTGAATGAAATTAGAGCGTTTATCCAAACAATCAATCTATTAGTGCTTACGAAACTCTGATCTCGAAAGCAAGGTTTTGAACCGCTGATTTTAGATTATTTATTTTTTGTAATAGGCCCTTTAGATCACAATATCCTGATTAATTATTGCCGTAATATATCTGAGGACAGTATTCTATTAAAGCTTGCAGAGCTCGGATCTCGAAGGCGAGGTCTGTGATGGCGGGCGGCGTGGCCACTAGAGTTGGAGCGAACACAGTACTGAGATTGTGTGCACTCATTTTATTCACTTCAGCTAACTGGGACACCCTTAAAGACAAATTAAATAATAATAATATAAAAATATAACGAGTTAAAATACAAAAACTCTTTTTTAAACATCATGAAAATCATTAAACATTAAGCACAAAACCATTTACAAGTGATGCAATGGGCGGCCTTATCACTTAAAGCGATCTCTTCCAGGCAACCTTTGGATGGAGAGGATTAGAAGGAAGTGGGAGAGACGAAAAAAAATGAGCTACTTAACGTTCGAACTTTGATTTAAACATCCAGTAGTTAAATGATTAAAAAGTCAAAATATAACTTCAATTGCTATTTCTTCATACAATTGTTTAATACTTTTTTTTTCTCTTTATTTAATTTAAAGGACTTTTATCTTTACTGACATGTCAGTCCCATCGTGTACTTATATAAATTAACAAATCATCTAAGTCAATTAACGTAATATGTTATTGTCGGAAGAAAGTCGCGGCAGACATATAAAGCGATACAGCATTCTGGCCTCTTCCGAGACCGGTTGGGTCAGAATGCTGTGAAACACACCAATGTCTGACATATTCAATTTACATTTTTTAACAAACTCTTGTCTCTCATTCGGGTACCGGACACAATCCATCAACAAGTGCTGGAGATCTTCTACAACACAGCATACTTCACAGTTGGGAGACTCAATAGGCTAGTTTACTCGTGTCGAATTGTATTAAATAAATGTTTATTTCTTAAAGTGTTTAGTCTAAGGAACCTGAATATATCGATTTCACTTCATAAAAGCAGAAGATTGCTGTAGAAATTTAATTTTAAAAAATATTTTTTAGTCTATATTTTTTAAACACTAAAAACGCTGTTCGCCACATTCGCCATGATTTTGACGTCTCTTGTGGTAAACAACTAAATGTCATTCGCGTGTTACTGTAGGTGGATTCTTTCGTCTGACTAAATTTATCATAAAACACTTTTAACTTTAGGAAAGAAAAAAACAGTAAACTTAGTTTTTTTTGACTAAACAAATTATGGATGCCGGCTTTGTGAAAGCAGAAAGCACAAATCTGCCAAGAATTGACGCATTGATGGTTGGTGAATTTGTTGCACTAAACCCCGATTTCTGCTCTGCGGAGCAGAGAAACGACAATGCATCTATGTAAGTACAGTGCATTTAGTATTACAATGTAGTAATAAACATAAAACTGATACAACATATGAATAAGTGTAATAAAGTTGCGTAGGTTAATTTCTTTCGGCACTTTAATCCACAACTTTCCTGGAGTCTTCAAGGATGTGTTTTTATATTCTCGTACAATACAGTAATGATAATTACTTTATTTTTCGTGGTATTTATTAGAAATCATGTTTTTTTTTATTATAAACTCAGTTAAAAGTAATTTTCTACGTGTTTACGAGTTTTTGTTTACCACAGTTCACGTCATAGCATAGACGTTTGTATGTCCATGAAAAGTCTATTTTAAAATTAAAGATTTGTAGCTTTCTAGGTTTAAAAAAAATACAATACATTTTTTTTCGGTCTAATAGAACATTTATTAACCATTTAAAACCTTTTTCCAAAAAGGGTCAACTAGCCTATTCTTTCATAAGATGTCCAAACTTGTTACATGGATAATGTCCAGAACGAAGTCTATTTAAGGTCACTACAAAGTGTCGACTTGATGTTAAATTAATAAACCGCGGTATTCGTAGAGACTGTAAAGTTATTCGTTTGATATTGTGGGTTGCCTACAATGCGCAGAGGCGGTGCTGCCTTGCAGCTTGCAGCCTAAGAAAAGAATTCGACACGGCCATTAGGGTCGCAGTAAAATAACGGTCAGTTCTGGGTCCCGTCTGTTGATTGGTCCGCGTTGATATTTTCTAGAAACATTTTCTTTCGATTCAAATATCTAAATACGTTCCTTCAGCTGCACATATATCTTTAGCTTTCTCCTACAACCTCTTTTATGCGTGTTAATAATCGCTAGTTAAACTAACATTTAGCGTCTATAGACACGCAGCTCGATAATTCATTACGATAGCACTTAATTCAAATATCGAACAATAATTTTAGCGCATTGAGTACGAAGCTTCGTCGCGCTGGGGTGGGAGAAGTTCCATAGATTACTTCCTATAGACAAATTTACAAAAAGTACGTATTTTGGAGCGGCGATAAATAAATAACTAATAATAAATAAATATTTCCAACACTCACGCCAATAAGCCTAGTCCCAAAGTAAGCACCGTAACAGATAGAATATATACGAGAAGATTAAAGTGGGTAGTTTGAAGTGATCATACACGTTTTTAGTAAGAGTAATTTGAATTTAATTTTAAAAATAGTTATATTAATATTTTCTAAATTTATTATACACAGAATGTTTGAGTAGTACATCAATTACCTACTGCTGTCATATTTCCTAGTTGCAAGCACATTAAAAAACGCACCATCACAATAACACTTCACTCAACTGTCATCAACACCATTTTGCTTTTATTATCATTATGGAAGGAATCAGGGGAACCATGGAAGCATTGGCAGACCTGGTTCAATCTCGAATGGCCCTGTTTGAGGATGAGCTGAGGAAAGTTCCGTCATCAAGACTTGAGACTGTCACAACCTTGTCTGCAGATTTTAATGCATTTCGAACATTTATTATGACATCTCTAGCTGCTCTTCAAAAGCAAGTCGATATGTTGGCAGTGCAATGTGACAACTTGGAGATGAAAAACAGGAAAAAAATGCTTCTGTTACATGGTGTCATTGAGCTGCCTGACGAAGATGCATCTAAAGTAGCAGCAGATACTGTTCGCCAACATCTTTTGGACCATATTCAGCAAGAAGACTTGACTCAAGCTCATCGTATGGGAGTATTTTCATCAGTACGGCCTCGTCCAATACTCATCAAGTTCAGGAGCTATGAGGATCGCAACGAAGCATGGGCTGCTAAAGTTGGGCTTAAGGGTTCTGGCATAACCCTGTCTGAATTCCTAACCAAGCGTCGACACAAACTCTTTTTGGAATGTCGTGACAGGCTCGGAGTTTCTAATTGTTGGACTAACGGAGGTCGCATCAAGGTACTGGGAGCAGACAACAAACGATATTCAATAACTTGTCACGCTGACTTGGAAAAGGTTGCTGCTTCCCAAAAGGCACGGTGTAAGACTACTAAGGAGGTATCATCTGCTGATCCACCTAGCGGTGGTGTTGGCACACCAACCTCGCCTCTTCAGAACGTCAAGCCGACGAGCTCTAAAGCATTGCCATCTGCTAATCCATCTAGTGGTGGTGCTAGCACACCTGTCTCGCCCCTCGTCAAACAGATGTGTTCCAGACGCCAGAGGACGGCGGCTCTCCCAAGAAGAAAGTGAGTGAATCACATCATTATAATTACTTTATTGCACTAGTAGACTATTTAAGCTTTCTTTCATTCAATGAGTAGTTATAGCAGATTAATGTGGTGGTGTAGTGGCAGTTCTTGTTCTTGGACTCAGCTGCATGTTGTCGAACTACTGTAGGGAAATTTATTCTGTCATGATTTTATTTATCTATAATGTAGCTGGTCGTGTTTCCTTTCTTTTTTTTGTTTTACACTTTTGTAGGTAGACTAAACTCAATCACTACGTAAACGTAAAAAACATTAGATTTTTGTTGCTTTTGTATGACATTGACAGCTTCGCTGCAGCGGAACTGGGTTGCGTTCCAAGCCACAATTTTACACTCCGACGTTACAATTGACATAAATGCTTTGTGAATTTATGAAAGATATGTCAAATTTGTCATTTGATGCACACGTTGAGTGGTATGGTACGTAGCCTAAACCATAGACTAGAAACTTTTATTGTTATAAATTTGTTTAAAACAAAGGCATAAGATGTTAAATTCATACAGCCTTGTCTGTCTTTTTTTTTTATTTTATTTATTTATTGTTATTATTGCTTTTGTAACATTTGAATTTGGAATGTAACGTTTTTTAATCTTAAAACTTTTTTAATATACATATATAAAATTGTATGCAATGTCAAATTCCTAAAAATACTTTGTTGAGTCTGTTAATTCTGACGCCGCACAAGTCTGCTGTTAATTACTTATTAATATTTATATTAAAAATTTTATTAATTGCATTATCTGCTTTGTAGTCGCTAGATATTATTAGCTTTTAGATTTTAGCTTTTTTTTTGTTCTGCTTAGCTTAGTTTGTATTTGACATTGACTGCCTATGGGTAATTGAAATGTATGCCAATTGAATAGTATATTCTTTGTTGTTGTTTTAATTATCTATGTACAATGAATATTTCCATTAATTCTGATATATTTCATTCTTGCTCTTCTCAATCCAGTCTTGAGGATAGCCTTCATAGTGATGAGTCTGCGTCCCTTGATGAACTTCTGCAAGATACTTTTAGTGATTTATCTAAAAATTTGAACGTAATCCACATAAACGCGCAAAGTATCCCGGCACATTATACTGAATTATATACTTATTTAGTCAATAATAATATTCATGCGATTTTAGTTTCTGAGACTTGGCTACATCCTTCTGTTCCTTCTTCTTCTTACTCGCTTCCAGGTTATCATTTGATTCGTAACGACCGTGGTAGCTCTTCTCATGGAGGGGTAGCAATTTATCGCCGCTCACATCTCTCTTTCACTGTATTAAGTCAATCATCTCAACCTCCTCCGCAGGATACTGCTGAACATCTCTTCATTGAGGTCAACTTAGTTCACAATAAGGTTCTTCTAGGTGTTTTATACAGCCCATCTTCTAAAATTGATTATTTCCATTCCTTCGAGCTTCTCCTTGAAGATTTTTCTCATAATTATACTCATTCAATTATAATGGGCGACTTCAACACCTGTTTGATAAAAAATGATTCCCGATGCAAAGAGTTACGTTCAGTAATTAATTCTTGTAATATGCATATTCTTCCTCTCTCTGCGACGCATAAATTTCCAAACTGCACCCCTTCTCTGCTAGACCTTATAATGGTTTCATCTTCCGACCATGTTGTAAAACATGGTCAATTACCTGCTTATCAGTTTTCTT